CTCAGCAAGCATAAAAGTTCTGATCCGAGTCTGTCCCAGTGCTCGATGTGGTGTGTGTCTGTCCCAGTGCTCGATGTGGTGTGTGTCTGTCCCAGTGCTCGATGTGGTGGGTGTCTTTGGACGTACACCATGCCACGGTTGTTGCAGGCCGCCAGAGGCCCAGATATCACCAACTTTTCTTGGTGCAGCTCCAATCTATCGACCAGATCAGTGAAATCCTTTTTTAACTCTTCTGACTCTCGTAATTTTATATGGGCGCAGGGAAAACCGTGTGAGTTAAAATAAGAACAAGAATAAGAGCTTTAAAATCCTCACGGTTCTTGTGCTTTAAAATGGAGTCCAGATTGTGAATAATGGCGTCACCTGTTACTGTCCCTGGAACAGCAGGGTTCGGGGGCGTTGAGACGGATGGGTGGATTATGAAAGTATCTATAGTGCGTTATAGATGAGAGATGAGAGATTGGAGCTTATGAAGTATTATAATCAGCACTATAATGCCTTATGACTGTCAATAGAAGATGCTGTAATGCTTCATTAATCCTTATACTGACCATTGTAATGTGTTATAAAGGTATCTATTGGTTGTCTACAGTGCTTTATAGATTAGAGCTTCATCCGAGCTTATGAAGAATTATAATCAACTATATAATGCCTTATGACTGTCAATTGAAAATACTGTAGTGCTTTATTAATTCTTATACTGACCATTATAATCCATCATGAAAATATGTATAATGCATTTTAGATGACAGCTTCAAGAAAGTGTTACTGTTATTGTTTTATTGTGGTATAATAATCAAATCTATAGTACAACTTTCTGTGCACATTTTAGAAATACAGACTTACATATTTGTAATACTTAATACAGATGTAGTTTAGTCGTTAGTCCTTCTTCTCTACTGCTCCCTTCTTCCTCTTCCTAACCCTCCTCCTCCTCTCCCTTTGCTCCGTAGACGCCTCTGGTGTGATGCAGGTTAGGGCCCTGAAGGACCACCACGACCTCCACGACCCCACGGCCCTCAATGTCCGTGCGGGTGACATCATCACGGTGGGCAGCAGGGGGCGCTGTGGGCCAGCCTTCCGGTCGGCTGTCAGCGCATTCCGGAAGGTGATTAAAGACTGTTGTGGGGTCGTCCCGCAGGTCCTGGAGCGCCATGCGGATGGCCGGTGGAAAGGCCACGTCCACGACAGGAAACAGGGCACCGACCGCGTGGGTTATTTCCCCCCCGCCATCGCGGAGGTTCTGCAGAGCCAGAGATCAGGTCAGACCGTATGTCCAGCACACACACAAACATAGACACACGCACACGCACACACATGTAGGGTAAACATATCCTTATGGGGACCATTCATTCATTTCAATGGGAAAAATGCTAACGCTAACTATGACAACCTTAACCCCTACCCAGCCCTACCATTAACCATAAGTAACCAAACAAAATACAAGACTTTTGATATTTTTAGTTTTTTGATTGCAGTCACAGATTTTTATAAAATGGGGCCCAAAAAATGGTCCCCACAATATCAAAATAAGAGGTTTTTACCACATTGTGGGGACATTGGGGTTAAACAGCCTAGGTGGTGGTACTTTTCCCTAATGTGATTCACCTCCATCCATCACCTGCAGGGGGTGCCCTCCTGCGGCAGGTATCTCTGCCCCCCCAGAGACAGTACTTCCTGTCCAGGGCCCCTGTGGGCACGGGCCTGGGCTCCGCCCACCCGATGGACGACAGCTGCAGGCTGCATGGCTTGGAAAGTGAGACCACAGGTAGGATTATGTTCTTTCACATACCTAAACAAACAACAACAAACTCACAGGCATTTAGACGCCCATGATTTACACGCTGTGTGTGCGTTCAGCAGGCTTTCCTCCAGATGACCGCTCTCGGCCTGCCAACGCCAGCGAGGATGTCTGGATTCTCCGGCACTCCCTCACAGGTAGGAGCGTGTGAGACTGTCCCCGACTGCGGTGGCTCTGTGACTGAGGTCCCCCCCCCCAAATAAAAATGGTTCCTCCCCATCCTGTGTTTGTCTGCATGTTTACTTATCTTGCTTAAGGGTACAACGATTAACCAGCTTGTGCCAGAATAAACCGGCTGTCTCGGAGCTGCATTCTTTCTCCTATTGTCCCCCTTGCTTTGCATTTCTGTTCCTTCATTCACTCGGCATGCAGGTTTATCCAAAGAGGCAAGCGTGGCAGGTGCTATATCACAAGCTGTCATAAGACCAGTAACGAGTACAAGATGATATCAAAACAATAGCTATGCAAAACTTTGCAAACACATGGTCAGAACCGAACAGAGCAGCTATTCACATCGTAGATACCATGTGGATTAAGTTCCCCGGAGCCAGAAAGACTGCTAAGCCGGGCTTATCTCTCTCCCTCTTTCGCTCATGATCTGCCCCCAGCGGGTGACCGGAGCAGTGTGGCCAGTACGGACAGTGTGGGCAGCACTCGCAGCGCTGGGAGTGGCCAGAGCTCCGAGAGCAACGTGGCCCACAATGCACTTCACCAGCCAGCCAGACCACACGACACCAAAACGGTACCCCAGGCGCCGAGGGCCCTTAGGGATCCTCTTTGGGATCCTCTTTGGGATCCTCTTAGGGATCCTCTTAGGGATCCTCTTTGGGATCCTCTTTGGGATCCTCTTTGTCCCTCAGTGCGCAGTTCGTAATGTTCATCCGTTCACCCGCCACTCGGCCCACTACAGATTATGCTTCAGTTCAATTCTCTGTGTCTGCAGTGTTTCTTTTCCTGCTTGCACTATGTGTGGCTTTTCTCCTGTTTCTAAAATGCAGCCGGCACCCCCTGGTGGTGACTCCTACAAACAGACGGACCATCGTCCAAGTAGGCGACCTTGACTCTGGTTCTTGTGTCTTGTTCTGTTACTTCTTTAAAAATAAAAATGTATTACATTTGTTTTAATGAATTCAGGGAGTCCATGAATTGGTCACACTTCTCACTGTTGGCTTGTGTCGGCCTTCATTCTGTGGGTTTTGGGACTAACCATGGATTGAAATAATATTTGCAGGTGTTCTGCGCTGGCAGGGCGGTGGACAGGCCCCGGAGCAGCCCGCGCGTCCTGAGCAGCTGCTGGAGGTCAAGGTGCAAAGCTGTGGGATCCCGCTGGGGCCATTCTAGGATTTTAGGGCATAATTCATGCAGTGGGGCCAACGTTTATGATTAGCCAATCATAGTTTTTGAATCGGTAAGTGACAGGGAATGGGCAATCTATGGGGCAATCAGCTTTCAGCTGGGGCCGCTGGTCCTGTGGCGCCGCCCCTGTATACACCCCTGAGATCCTGGATGGGGGAACATTCATAACCAATATTCTAGCCAATAGAAAAAGTCAGCCATTATAGAATCGTGTGCTAGTGATCTGGGTCAGATGTTTGAGTCCTGCCTCCTCTAGTTGCTTGGATCGACCCCCCTCTACAATCTGATTGGTTGCCTCTCTGAACCAATCATTTTTCAATCTGCCTTCCAAACATTTCTGCGCAAGTAAAACTCCCATGAGCTCACCACACCTCCACCCCTAGCTTCACATCACTAAGTATCCAACCAGCACCAGTTGTCCCCGGCGTGCCCTTTTATTCCCGAATGTCCCTCCCCCGCAGGACGGTGAGGCCATCTACCAGTGGCTGAGGGACTTCCAGCTGGAGCAGTACACGGGCAATTTCCTGAGCGCGGGATACGACGTGCCCACCATCAGCAGGATGACCCCTGAGGTAAGGCCTTAAGCGCTTGGCTCACTGTCTGTCTGCACCCATGTGTCCGTCTCCATTTGTCTAATCATTTATCGGATTGGCTTCCTAACACTGCCGTCCGTGTCATTCCCATTTTTTTTTGTCACTTTCCAGGACCTGACAGCCATTGGAGTGACCAAACCCGGGCACCGCAAGAAAATATCTATGGAGATCGGAAACCTGAATATCTCTGATTGGCTGCCGGAATACATTCCCGTCAGTTGAGGAGCGATGCTTCTGCGTGATTGGTGCATGCCAACATGTGGTTTTATAGGACGGATCTGTCTGGTGAAGTTTCGGCTCTTGTAAGGGTGCCCTTCAGTGTAGAGAGACTCTTCATGACGTTAATGACCAATTTTAACCTACTCTGCTCACCTGTTTCCGCTCCTAATCCCCCCCAGTCGGACCTGGCTGAGTGGCTTGGTACCATCGGCCTGCTTCAGTACCACAAGAAACTCACTGACAGTGGCTACGACTCCATGGGCATCGTGCAGGACCTGACATGGGAGGACCTGCAGGAGGTTGGCATCGCCAAGCTGGGTGAGTTTCCAGCCTGATGCCCCTCAGCAGGACTGAGACTTGGGTCCCTTTGCCCATTTGCTTCTCCAGGTGGGCGTTGCTGAATAAGAAAGCTGCAACTGTGCTTTCCACAGAAATTTTTCCAGAAGTTATTTTTGGTGACAAGACCAGTTTCTTGAATTCCTGGATGTATATGTCCATGGTACATGGTACAGATAACCTATTTCTCCATGTTGTGTATGGTGTTGTGTTAGGAGATGATGTGCCATGCTCATGGGAAAAAATGGGATAAAAATGATTGGTTCAGTGAAATAACCAATTAGATTGTAGAGGAGGTGGGTCCAAACAACTGGAGAACGTGGGACCAAGACATCTGATTGGTTCTCCTGCCTCCTCCAGTTGCTTTGTGCAAGTAAAACTCCCATGAGCATCTATTATTCCTCCAGGTCACCAGAAGAAGATAATGCTAGCTGTGAAGAAGCTGTGTGAAATTCGGAGGGCCCAGGTCCAGGCTGAGGCTGGACGTGGGATAATGGGGATCGTTCCCACCGAGACTCTGGAGAGTGTTCGGTGTGCCCCCCCTCCTCCTGGGATGCCTGTCCAGGATGGTGAAGTTGCCACCGAGGTGACAACAGCCTTGTCCAATGGTTCTATCACTAACGAAAAAGGGCTTATGGGCATGAGTACGGCCTGCAGGTCCATCGGCCAGGACAGTACGGTCACATCACTGCATGGCGATAGGGCCGCAGTCACGCAGAACGAATGGAATGTTCAAGAAGGTCGGACAAACTGGCCGGCTAAGACTTCACGGGAGCCAGGCACTCTCACTCTCAGCTCCCTGCTCGCCGACAGTAATCGGGCACCGCCAGTCAGGTTTGCTCCGCCGGCAAGTGCTCGCCCCTCTGGGTCCATGATGCCACTTCATCCCAGCTGCTGTCTCCAGGGCCTCCCGCCACACCCTGCCTTTAGCTACCTGCACTCTCACTGCGGTACCTCAGGCCCACAAGCCACCCGCTGGCCTCAGAGCCCGACCCGCCACACCCTGTCTGACGGGGAGCCCGAAGATGAAGAGGCCTCCTTAGCTCCCTCGGGGTCTCTAGGCTCATACGCTACGCTGACCCTCCGGCCCGTTCACGGCCGGCCGGACCACCCACCACACTCGGCTCCGGGGCGTGGATTGGGCCGCAGTCGCTCCTTCGTCATCCGTGCTCTCCGGAGAGGCCCGCCCCCGCCCCCGCCCAAGCGATTCAGCTCCATCAGGACCAGCTCTGGGTCCCCAGGAACGAGTCCATCGCATGGGATGCAGGACGTCGCCATAATGAGAAGCCTCCCCACCATGTTAGGGACAGCCAAGGGGGGTCTGAACTACAAGTGGGACAAGCCGGACTGCCTTAAGGAGGATGCAGTACCTCCCGATCCACGTTCCTGCACATCCCTGCCAGAATCGGACCCATCCCCCGAGGCCTGGGACCCCATGGCGGGCCGGAGGAGAGCAGCCAGCGAGTCTGAAATTGGCTTGCTGGAAAGTGGGCGGAGCAAGGGCTTGGAACGCTGCTCCTCCCCCCTGAACAGTTCTAGTGAGTCTATCCCATTTGCTGAAGAGGGTAACCTCACCATCAAGCAGCGACCCAAGGCTGGTGGCAGCATGAGGCTGGACGTGGTGGGCCCCATCAGCATCGCCATGGTGACAGACCAACAGACCAAGACCCTGGAGTTCAACCTGAAGGAGTCGGACACGGTGAAGCGCAGGAATAAGCCCAAGGAGCAGCTTGCTTTGGAGGGGGAGGAGCCTCATCTGGTGGGGGAGGGGGCTCACTTAAAGGGGGAGGAGCCTCATCTGGTGGGGGAGGGGGCTCACTCAAAGGGGGAGGAGCACTGCTTGGAGGGGCTGAGGCCTCCCTTGAGGCAGGATGAAGCCGACAGTACAGGCTGCGAGGAGGACACCTGCCTGAATCCCCGCTGGGTGGGAGGAGTGAGCCTGCACATCAGCGAGGCTGAGCCAGACCCCCAGGGCCTTGAAAAGCATCCAAAAGCCCACGTCTGCCCAAAACTTGCAAGTCCCCTCCTCCAGTCCATTGGTACTGCCACAGCCCACCAGCAATGTTGTCCAGGTACTGGTCCAAAGAACTCCTGGTCAGGGGTGGCTCCGGATGTTAATTGCTTATGAAAATATTCAATGTGTTTTATTTGTCTCCATCAGGGGGCGTCAGAGTCACGGCAGTGGGCCACCAGCAGACAGGGCCACTGAACAAACTCCCGGGAGCAGGAAAGGGGCCAGTCTGTGCCCCCGAGCCAGGCCCTGCGCTGGCCCAGATGCGCCTGGAGCAGACCAGCACCTCCCTGGAAGCTGCACTCATAGCCGTGGAACGGAAACTCTCTCTGGAGAGCTCTGATGGGTATGAGGACTCACACCTCTGCATTTCTGTTTGCAGGAGTTCTGCAGAGTCACCACCAGGGGGCGCAGGCATTTAAAACACAGGAGAAACGCCACACTTATGCAAGTCGGAAAAGAAAAAATCATGGGATTTTTAATTATAATAAATCTTCCTTAAATACTTACAGCAGACCCTGTTGCAAAACAAATCACAGTCTTTTTTTAAGTAAAGTTTTGTTTTCTGAGGACAATGCACTAATATCTGTGTGACAGATTATCTCATCACCATTGGAATATTTTCTTATTTTCTCCACTAATGTATCACACACTCATACACTCCTTCACCTGCAGAATGATTAGGATGCTTAGAGCGAGCTGGTCATTCCTAAAGGAGACATGCACCCATATGTGACTAACGGCAAACGTTATCCCCTCCCTCCTGCATCACAGCGGGGACGACGCCGTGGAATCTGCCGGGACCATCCTCAACGACATTGGCAACATGTTCGACGACCTTGCCGACCAGCTGGACGCTATGCTGGACTGACCTCCGCCCCCCAACCCCTGGCCCATTCAGGTAGAGCCAAGCGCGGCTGGACGGCACCTTCTGCGAGTGCCTCTGGGAAGCACACGGTCCCCATCCTCCAGCTATCGAAGAAGCTGGTCTGTGACAGTCATACAAGGAAGCAGTGACAGGGTGCATCATGGGAAAAGGAACAGGAAAGGAAATGTGAGCCCCCCTTGCTGGTATTTTCCACGACTTAACAGGAAGTGATGTGACCGCTGAAGGCACCCCCGCCGCAAGACACTGTGGCAGACGTATCTCCTGTCACGTTTGCTTATTTTCTTTTAATCATTGTTCATCAAGCATTGTTTTCCTTCAGCCAGTGCCGCCTAATCCCCATTACATGGTACCTCTATGTGACTGGGCCATGGGGCAAACCAGAGGACAGGAAGGAGTAAAGACAGGAAGCCCATCTCCACTGTTTCCTGTAGGGACAGTGGCGGTTAGGGAATTCGACTGGAAAAGTCACTGCCTCAAATTCCAGCAGGGTTCTTGCTGTTGTACCTTAGAGTAAAGCACTTAACCCAAATCACTCCTGTAAGTATTTGTTTATATAAATGACAGTATTAAACTGTACGCTGCATCAGCAGGCTAAGAAACTGACAATGGCGTTTTTTACAATGGTGTGTTTTCCTCCAAGCAGCAGATCTTCTGAACAGTTTAGTTACATCATGGCTTTACAGAAGAACTGCTTCCGCCGCTCTGAGCTGATTCAGAGAGAAATTCCCCTATTACATTCCGGCAACTTCTGTTCTGAGAAAAGAGACACTGCATCTATGACTGCTGGCGAATTCTATTTTTATTTTAGGGAGAAGATGCATTTAGGTCCGGAATTTTTAGACTATTTATTTGCTTTTGAAAAATAAATTACAATGTATTGTCTGTTAACGTTAAGCATACATACTACATCGTCACTATGAGTTGTACTGTTTCATAACTAATATAATACTCATTTCAGCAGTCAGTATAAAATCAGAAATGCTGTTACATCTTTTAAAATGTTCATATTGTGAGCTATACAGCTGCCTTTGGAGATGAATCGCTTCTGGTATACGATAACAAATATGGAAACTGTTAGCACAATGCTAATTAAGTAAGGCTTCCCTTTCCTTGCACACAGACATCAGTATTCCAAGATCCTCATATCCTTTATTATTTCCAAATTAGAACTTAATAAGGTTTGGATTTTTTTTTTTTTACTGTGAAATGTATAATTGCTAATGCTGCATCACCCCCTGTAAATGTGCTGCTGATGCATACAGTGCTGTATCGTGGTATATTGTGTGTGGTTCCCAGCTGCTTGTGTGCGAATGGCGGTACAGTACTGACAGTGTCCTGTTCAAGTACCGATAATCGCCAATGGGGTCACAGTTTGGGTTCAGTGTTCAGTGTCGACTGCCTGCGGATCAGGATACGGTTCTGCGTTGTGGGTTCTTCGTTCTGTAGCTTCACTCAGTTGTTCAGGTTTGTTTCAAGTTGAACAGTCAAACAGAAAAACCTTTGCGTCTCTGATTACGGTCACAGGGCAAATACTAATACCGAAACTATGTAGGATATGACTGACACTGACAATTGGGGCATTTCTGTGATTTAACACAAGAACAAATACAAAATAGCAGATAAGTAAAGTTGTGAGTGACACAGACGGGTGCAAAAACAGTATTTTTATTTTATAAAAGCAGCCCATTCCATGGAAGAGCACACAAGCGGCGTGTTGAGAGTGTGTCACTGGTGGCTCAACCTCTCCCTGACAATGAAGGGGGTGGGGGGGTGCGCTTTGGCGAGCAGTCTCACCTGTGTCCTACAGATGACATGTGACGCGTAGATATAAGCGGCAAAAGAAGGGAAACGGATGTTAAATAAAATCAATAATGACATGAAGGGTTCGTGGGGGAGATTCAGTATCTGGAGCAGGTTTGGTTTCTGGAAGCACCAGCTAATATGGCAAAAGTTAATTCCGGCCACAATGGGGGAATGGGTTTGGTTTTGGATGGAATCATATGGACCAATGGGGGAATGGGTTTGGTTTTGGATGGAATCATATGGACCAAAAAAAAGCAAAAAAACACAAAAAAACAAAAACAGTAAAACATAAGGTAAAGAATAATAGTTTTTAAAACCTTAATTACAATTAAATTACAGGTGCCTGGATCACAAGACAACCCAGTCTACCACGCGTGTGTGTGTGTCTCCTGGCTTGTAATAGGTTACATGTTCACACCAATCATACACACACACACACACACACACACACACACACACACACATCATCTGCCATTTGACTCAATCAAATAATAACATGTTTCTTTGCACAGGAGAGATTGGTCTTACCACAATAAGGCACATTTACTTAAACCCACAAATACACACTCTGTCACACTCACTCTATCTGTCCATTGGGTTCCCCCATGTATGTTAGAAGCCTGATGCACAGGCATGCAGACACACTACTAAGCCCTGATCAGCAGCAGTGAAACAGGCTGCTTTGCTCGTCACCCCCCACTCTGTCTGACCACATCCTGCTTCAGTTTCCTCTGACTTATGTTCAATTTATACATCGAATGATAGATGCAAGAAGACGGTTCAAATAAACCTGTAATGTCCTTCGGGGGGCGTATTATGGTAATATGACAGCATTTTTAAATTCTAGCAAAAAAAATTGCTGTGGGGGTGGGGGTGGTGGTCCCCCATTATAAAATATGCCCCCCCCAAGCCCTATATTGAAACCCCAGGGTAAGGGGGTGGAAGATAGTGGGGGCATGTGTACGGAATATAGTTAATTGTATTTATTGTAATGCTTCTCAGAAGTTCTGTATGAAACTTAATCCAGAGCAGCTGTCCCTAAATTTGAGTGATGAGTTGGTCTGAATAAAAGACAAACCCACAGTTGTAAATAAAAGTAAAGGTCATCTGTCCAGCATGTTTGTATGTGGGTGTATGTGTCTGTGTGGGGGGGTGGTTCTACAGATTGTGAAACAGCTCGTGCTTCTTGCTCCAGTCCATAGGGGGCGCCTTCCTGCGCTTCTGATGCGCTCGCTCCCGGGCCAGTTGTAGGGACTTGCCTGCGCTCAGTTCCGCCTCCTCGGAGGGGGGCTCCGTAGCCTATCCCCACAAAGGCAGATGGAGGAGGAGGGAGGAGAGAAAGAGGGATGGTGAAAACAGAGGACAGATGTCACTTTGCCTTATGGCTTGAAACCCCAAGGACCCCGTTTGCAAGAGCTGACCTCTGGGGGCGGAGTGGCGGGTGGGGCTGTGAGAGAGGCTTCGGATGAGGAGCTGGAGAGGGTGGGGCTGACGGGTACCTTGACCTCGTCCGAATTCGCGTCTTCGGTCTCGTCGTTGTTGATCTGTAGAGGGGAGAGGACCTTGAACAGGCTGTGGGAAGCTGGCGAGGCTCTTAGTACAACGTTTCTTAACCTTGGTGCTCAGGACCTCTTGGCTATATGTGAACAGGCTTTCTGTCCATTTGAGCTCTTAATGACTTAGGCCTGATTAATGGTGTCTACAGAGATACATAGATCTGCATAGACAGATATGCACATCTAGCGGTTTGTACATAGATCTGCACACCTAGAGTTGCATTACCTTCCATAGCAGTGACAGGCGCAGTTAGTCTTACCTTGTTCTCCAAATCTCCATTGGCAATGGGTTCGGGCAAAGGGCCTGTACGTGGACAGGTAGGCCACAAGTTAATTCCAGATTCCTCATTTCTTTTATAGCAATTTGCTTTGATGCTCTGTAAGTAAAGTCTATCACCTCCTCTAGTCAGGTCTACATAGAACTTGCTCGTTTTGCATTGACCAACTGCCACCAAGTATCTCTGGGATTTAAACCAATCACATAGTGGCTTTCTATCTCCGCAGCCTCAGTGAGGTCAACTTTGCCCAGATTTAAGCATATTCTAAGGTATCCTTGCACCTATCCTCACCCTGGGAAGCATCTGTGTTTCTTTAAATCGAACCAGCAGCATGGTATCCTGCTTAGATACACCGGCACGCATTGCCACGTCAACGTGATGTTTTTCAGAAGACCCTACCCCATCCTACATTCATACACCTATTGACTTCTCTGTTAAAATTCAGGCCTCAGTTCTGTCATGCTGGTAAGAGCCTGAGAGCGGGTCTCACCTGTGAGGTGTTCCTCTGTAGGGGTCACCTGGCACCTCTTGAAGAAGGCATCCGTCTCTGGGTCCACCACGAGCAGCGCTGTATTCTCGCCGCCGGATCTGATGGCTTCCACCACGTCGCCATGCTGCTTCCCATTCACGGGGTCGCCGTTGACCTGAAACACGCATGAGGATGCCGGTGAGACACACATGCAACACATGCAAAGGACATGTCAACAGAACTCCCTAAGTTTCATCTTCAAAAACCAACATGTGTGGTAAATCGGGAACACCCTTTACTTAGGGTACCTTGGTGTCGCTGTGATTAGATGACAGGGAAGTGAACTTTTCTCGAGGTCGGCCCACAACCCTAACTCCTTATCTGCCATCTATATTGTTCTTCTCAAGACAACAGACGTTTCATCCCTGGTTGGATTTGGCTCGCTGCATTATCAGTGTGCCTTCCTGCAGATCCAAGGAGGAAATCCTGTATCTATTTGTGTCACACAAATATGTGGATGCTCTCAGCTAGTCCGCAGGGCTACAGCAGGCCTAGCAGCCAATGGCACGTAAAAGGGGGCACATTCCCATAATGCATTCTGTTTGCAAGCTGGGCTCTCATGTAGATCCTCCATCATTAACGAACACAAATACGCTGCAGGCGTGCTAAGAGTTGTCATTTTGACCATAATTCGGCAAAGCAAACATCTCCCTGACAGCCACTTCCTGGGCCTGCTGACCGCTGGTCAAACCACAAAACCGCGTGGAAACTTGTATATTATAGAGAGAATATGATACAAGTGGAAAATACCAAAATTGGCTCGGGTGCTAATATCTGCCAGAATATCTGATGCTGTCACCCAAACTGAGCTGAAAGTTTGTAGTCCCCTTCACCACCGGTTAAGCTGAAGGATGCAGCGGCTGCATTAAATCATGTTAAATCACCTTAATGGTTGTTTACTTGTAGAGGCCTTTAATCATTATCCCACCTGCTGTCCAAAATTGCCTGCTGGTAATAAAGTAATAGGGAAAAGAGGTGATGAGCGGCTGGGTGGGGTCACCTGAACAATCCTGTCCTTGGGTCGAAGGCCAGACCTCTGAGCGGGCGAGTCGTCATCCACGGCCCTGATGTACTGGCCCGGCTTGGACCTCTCGCTGTGCAGGTTGAAACCGTAGCCCGTGGCCCCCTTCTCGATGACACAGAGTCGAGGTCGGAGCTCCTGTTGGGTCTCCTGTGGTGTGGGGGGGGGGGCACAGAAATGTGAGATCATTGTTCTGAACACTGACAGTTTTCTATGGCAGGGGGAACTGCACTGATTTCTATAGAAATTTCAGTTAGTGCAAATGTTTAGAATGTGGAAAATAATGTAGAAATTTGGTGTGATAACTATGGAGAAGGAATCGCAAAATGTATGTTAATGTTCCAGTGGTTCATTTTTTTTCTGAAAGATGCAAAAATACAGGAAAAAACCAAAAGAAAACCCAATGAAACCCCATTTTCAAACCCTGCTTCTTTCTAACCACACCCCCCCCCCGAGTTGCTGACACCAGGACTGACAGACTCCCATTATAACAAGCCAGTAGGTACCAAGAAAAGCACCTCTGACCTGACAGCAGAGCTCAAAGCCCCGTGTTTACATTCCTGCACCACAAACTCACCCCGATCGCCCCGATTCAGCTGTCCTTGTTTACAATTATTGCATATAAGAACCGAGCTGTGCTGCGAAGAGAGACTAGTTACGTGTGATTCCAGCTCACTTCGGTTCTGTAAAGGCGTTGCCGGTTTCCATGACTGATAGCGATGTAAAACCGAAGAGGCGCTTATTTACTGTTCAAATAGTGTACATCTTGATTTACTAAGTGCTAATTTCTGCGCACAAGTGTGTGATAATCGGCGTCTTATGTTACCATCAAACATGAATGGGATTAGCATTCGCTTGCATAAATTTGCATTACGAATCCACTCCGTTTAGCTATTCTATAGTACTTTCTCAAGTATGCAGCTGGAAATGTTCAAGTTCCGAGTTATTGGGAATGCATCAATACATTGCAATGTGTGATAATACTAATCAATGCATTTCGATGCTGATCACTGGTTCCTCTTTATCTCCCTGCATTTCACCAAATCAGGCGGTGGTGATGCAAGCAGCTTGTTTAGTCAGCCCTGCTAGTAAGCTGGACCATGTCACTGCGATTACGAGTTTGGGTACAGCTGACTTACAATGGAAGACCGTCTTGTTGTGGTTCCACTTGGGTACGGCTCTGTTCTCGGTGATGGTGGAAAAGTGCCATTACAAAAGCAGATGCTGCAGTGTTTTAACGTGCGAGTCTGTCAGATAAGCAGCGATGGAGAAACAGCACGACTGTGTGCAACGGAGCATCGCGTTCATGCAAAATTAGCGTAACACTGGTGTGGTGTAACAGTTACTCAAAAAAATCATGACTTTCTTAAGCTAGATTGTAGTTGCGTCGGTTTCCAGTAAAACTTCCTTTATCAGTCTTGCAAATGCAGATCTGTAGGATAATGATGTTGAGTGGAGGAGTGAGTGCATCCACAGGAAGATGCCCTTAACTAATGTCTGGGGCTGTGTTTTCTAACAGAGTACAGAAACACTTGGCCTTTGGCCACGTTTTGCCCTAGTCCTCATAAATCAACATCAGCTCTGATTCACAAAAGGCCAACACAAATTGATCAAAATTAGAAAAAAAAACATCTATTGTATAAATGCCACAATTCATAGACCTTGAGTTTATTTGCACATCGCCCCCCTGTCTAAAAACGACTCCCCCCTCCTATCAATTCAGGAGAAGGTGGAGGTAGCACTGTAGCGCTCTGAAAGCGATGGCAATAGCGATGTGGGGGGGTAATTACTTTGTCCCTGTGCATCATATCATATTACTTTAACCATCACAGGAAAAAGGATTAGGAAGTGATATCCATGTTCCTACATATTGGATGGAATTAATCAGTCAGAGTTTATTTCAGGGGGATGAATGGACGGGGGTGTTGAGTCTTTCCATCCCTGGTTAATTTTATTCACATTATTGGTGTGAGAACTGACTGTTGGTTGTTTGGTTACTTTTAATGCTGTTTGAAATAAATGTGAAAATTTTCATGCTTTACATTTACCATAATTTAGCTAATTGAACAATATTTTACTGTATATATGAATTGGTACATATATCTAGTCTTCTTGTTGATGATTTTAATTTTCCTGGTTTGCATCTGCTGTCACCTAGCATGGACGTCTGCGGCATGCTGTCTGGGGTAAACCTCTCTCAGGATGGAGAGCTGGTCTGCATCACTGTCAGACAAAAGGTGCTGTAAATATCCCAGTGTTTCTGTTTTTTAGTTCTTAGTAAATTACTAAATTGCTGGTTTTCAGAATGACTAAAAATTCTATTTGCTTTGTGGTAACTAGCTACCTATACTGTTGTTTTTCATTTGTACCCTCCAAAAACCCACGTTTGCTATTCGGAGCCAAGCCAATATTCTACCCCACCTTCGTGAAATTCTGTATTCCATTTCCTGTGTTCCATTTCCTGAGTTCTATTTCCTGCATTCCACTCCATGCATTTTTTCTCTCTTCCCTGACTTCTGTGTTGCTGTATCACATCCAGTGCAAATCCCTCAACAAAAGGGAACTCTGCCATTTTTTTATACTGCAGTCCTAACTGCAGTTAAATCAGCAATCCATTAACTCAGTGAAGGTCACTCTGCGCAGCTCCTCCTCACTCATTTGTGCTGTTTCTCATCCTGATTTGGATCGATCCTGTCTGTTCTGGTTTTGAGTCAAAGATGGTTCTTGGGGTTATTGACTATAGCTTACTGTACTGGATTTTGTTCTGGTCTGTGGTCTCATTCGTGGTGATTACAGTTCGACATCTGAGTCATCGCAGTCAATGACCCTGGTCCTGACAGCACTGTGGACTTGGGAACCAGCCTGACTTGGCATGTGTTTGGGTGTGTGTCTGTGTGCAGTTTGGAATGTGTCTCTTTGTTTTGTGCCTCATTTTGAACTTTATTAACAAAGTGCTGTTTCTTTAAGTTCCCCCTCCTTGCCAGAACATGCTGACTGCGGGATCTGTAAAGTTAGCTCTGGCCCTAATTCAAACTCTCATCTTCAGAGAGGCGTCTGATTGGCTGGTAGCCCAGTTAATGCTGGGGAGCTCATTTGAACTGCATTAATCCGGGCTCGTTTGATTGGGTCTGGGGTAGGGGAGTCTGACAGTAAGAAAGATGAACATTGAAGATAAATCGCGGTCAGTGGGAGGTGGACGGAGCTCCTAGTGGAGGTGGGGCTCTTGGTGTGTCACATGACACCAGGAACCTGCTTCTTTGCTTTGTTGGGCTTATTATCATCATAATGTTCTTGCTGACTTGGAGATCCTAACAAAACCCCTCCCATTCTGCCGGATGCCTTGAACAGGCCTGGCTAAGCCCTGCAGTAGGTCATCGTAGTACACTGTCTGTTTCTAGATACACTCATGTATTATCTCTGTAAACTACTATTATTATATGATCCTGCTGGGCTGGTGTGGCACGGTTTATGTCAGATTATGTCAGATCTGGGGCAGACCGTCTGGGTTCAGCCACCGGAGACGGGAAAGCTCGCAGATTTTCAGCGGAGAAATAGAGAGGAGTATTTCTTAAAGCAACCCACGGCAGACAAATGAAATCGCCTTCTTATAAACCTGGAAATTCTCCTTGTAAAGCGAATGCTTTTGGCGAAAAAGATGCCGATGGCAAGAGCTGGGCGCGCGGAGTCGCCGTGGCGACCGCACCCATGTCAGGTCGCCACGGTCACGTGTGGCTCTCACTGTGCTGAAAGGTGTGTTAGCGCGGCGTGTTCATGGGCCCTTGGTGTTATTTCTCAGCACAACCCCCCGAGATGACTTCCTCTGCCGGCATTTCCTTTCTTAAATAGTACTGTTTCCAAGGCGACAGCACTGACAGGGTTGAGGAGGCCGGAAAACCACAGGCAGCCGCGGCAACATGCTAACTATGCTATCACTGCAAGCTTGTTCTTCTATAACAATACAGGTGTGACCAAACTCTGGCACGGGCCTCCAGACAGAGGTCCTGGATCCCCCGCCCACCCCTGCTAAGCTGCACTTGGGACTCCCTCAGCAGAAGTAACAAGTAGAGATGTACCACAGACCCCATATTGTCCTCCTGTCAATCACTTCAACACTTTTGGCCCCTGAGGTTTGAACATGCCAGCGGGTAAAGCCCCCTCCCCGACCCCCCCCTCCCGACTAGCTGTTAGCTGCTCTGAAGGTCATGTGAACTCCACCTCATCACCTCCCATGGCGCCTTTGCAGGCTGACCGCACGGCCACCCCCAGGGCGGGGGAGGGGCTGCTCTCTCATTCTCTTCCGCCCGTCTTTGCTAACTGAACGCCACTGAGTTTGCAGCTTGTGCACGACACCCCCATCTGCACAAACAGATGTCAGCATAGCTCTGCTATTCCCTAACCTTGGGGGGGGGGGTTAGGGAGACGCTATATACCAGAGCTAAGCAATATGACCAAAATCTCGAATGCCGGTATAGGTCACGTCACATCCCGATAACGATATATATTACGATATAGCACATTTTCTGTAAATTCAATTAATAAATAGTTTATATAAAATGGCCACAAGGAAAGGCCTGTTCTCATTACATTTTTAATTATATACTTGACAAATAAAAGTTACATATTCATATTTGATTATTTTTCTCCTTTTATTTAGAATCTTTGGGCAAAATTTCAGTTAGGTATGTAACAAAATATAGAATTTTAATATACAAGGCATACAAAGGTTTATAGAAAACTGTAAACTGTTGGATCACACGCGGTAAAGATCAGCCAGTGCTGTAAAATGTTGCGCGGTGTATGCATACGCGAGACCTAGTGCGCGTGTGGCTGCAGATTGGATAGTGATATCGCCTCACGCAAAACCTAAGCATTGTCCAAAATATTTCAAATATTGCTGTAAAGAGTGTCACTTGTGATACAACAAAATAATGTTTTTTCTATCGTCACACAACATATATTGGCATGTCAACCAGCCCTACTGTAAACACCTCACCTTTATTTAGTGGAATGCTGCCTATCTCGTTGTATATACCTCACTCAGAATACACCAACAGCTAATCAGCTTAAGCCTCTTAGCCACTGTGCCATCTACTGGCTTATACTTGTACGACACCTTAGCCTCAAATCAAAATATTAATTTTTTACATGCA